ATTGCTTCTCTATACTATCAATATAGGATATCTTATCTCAGATATCCTTTTTAGCTTGATATAAGTTTCTTTTAAGGGATAATATCTCCAATCTCAACTCTGCTTTTTCTTCCTTTGAAGCATTCTCGAGACATTTCAGTTCTTCTTTAAGAGATTGGATTTCATTTTCACATCTGGTATATTTACGTTCCAGAACCTTTATAAATTTTTCATTCGACTTATTGATTGAAACTTTATTAAATAACTCATCCCTCAAAGCTTGATTTACCTGCTCCAATTCCAATTCCTGATCAGAGCTTGGTCCATGAGATAATCGATTATAGTGTGATTGATGAAATACCATAGCTATTTTTTACGGTATAATATATTGATACAAAGTAAAGGCATAGCCAAAATGAGTATACCTACTATATATATAGATCCATATGCTGAGATAGCTATAGTTTGTCATGCACTCTATTATAATATTTCTGGATTTTATCCGAATATGAAAGCTCTATAAAAGGCGTGCAAAAAAGAAGGGTATAGTCATTTTTGACTCAAAGATATAACAAAGTGGTTAGAAAATCAGTATGATTATTAAATATATCATCATCCACCAAAGATTAAGACTCAGGCTAGCTTTTCTAAATGTCGAATTCCTAATAAATTACACCAATGTGATCTATTATCTCATGTTTATGATGATCAGAAAAGGGGGAAAGTGTATTTACATACCTTGGTGCTTATAGACGTGGCAACAAGATTTAAATGTACAGTAGCGTTGACATCAAAGAATAGTTTAGAAGTTTGGAACGTGATTGAAAAGATATACAATGATCCCAAAAATCCTCTCACATGGCTGGTATTATTGATGGTAGATGGTGCCAGGAAGTTCAAAAGAGCATTCTCTCGAGGGATGGAATGTTATAATATTCCTATAAGAGTTATAAACCTTTATAGTTTTGAAAGCTTAGCGTTAGTAAAAAAATTCAAACAAGATTTAGCAAAACTTATATATAAAATTCAATATGTTATAGAAGGAAAACTTAAAGAAGGTAAATGCTTAAAATTATGGAAAAAGATACTTTGAAAAATTATCAACTATATGAATAATAATAAAACGTGATTAATCAGTATGAGCCCTGATCATACTATGACATTGTGGAAAGTGATTCCCAAAGTAACTATCAAATCTAAAAGATCTATTGGGAAAGATGAACTGTGATTACAAAAAGGAATGACTGTAAGATATTTATTAAAATCAGGTGAGTTGGAAGGAGGACATGTTCATAGAAAAACTGATCCATACTTTTCATTACATATTTATCATATTTAAAAAGTTATTGTTAGAAGGAATCTATCACAGCCAGTCTTATACTATCTCGAAGATGAGCCTATTGAATCTACTACTCATTTGATAGGATGTAACTCACATTGACCATTCAAGTGAGAAGAACTCTAAGTAATAGAAAATCCTGAAGAAGTCGAATACCCACCTGACAATTTTATATGAAAATATCATTCTTCTGGATCGATATATTTCATTTATGTTTTTAGTAGTGAATTTGACAGGGTTTAACAATATACCAAGAAATGTGATGGAAGTATTTTAGCTAAAACTAGTCAAATTAATGATCAGAATATATATCTTTGATCATGTCAGAATGATAAACATCAATTCAAATATCCATTTTCACTAATTGCTAAGAAATTTGAATGGTGTTCTATTTGTTCTCATTTCAAAGAAGAACGTAGATGCTGATATATTTTTGAGAATTTGTTAGGTAAGAAATTCCTATCTTGTAAACCATCATTTTTGAATAGGATGCAATTGGATGGGTATAATGAAAAACTAAAATTAGTATGAGAATATAATAGAGTTTAGCATTTTTATCGTAATAGTTTATATTACAAAAATCAAGGTGACTTAGATAGTCAACAGACGTGTGATCAAAAAAAGTGGAATATATGCAAGGAGCAAGGTATAGATCTCATTGAAATTCCTTATTCTGCTGATTTATATGAATTTATTTAAAATATTTTAATTAAGAAAGATTATTTACAGGATAAAAATTAAATCTGTAAGTGTTTATCTTAGATGTGAATAAAAATAAAACTCTAAATACTTATCTTGTTTGATTAATATTTTTCGGATATAATAATTAGTGACTTATCTGATCAGAATGAAAATAGAAAAGCTTAACCCTGTTGAAAGAATGGTTTTGAATATTAATGAATACAAAAATATAGAAAGATTTAATGGCCTTAATAATACATCTCAATGGCCATTCAATTTATTAATCAGTGAATGAACAAGATCAGGAAAAACTAATGAAGTTATCAACCTTTTACTTGAAAATAAAATATATCGATTGTTTAGTGGGAAAAAAGATGGAATGAGATATATTAAAAATGATGATTTGGTTTTGATCAGTCATCAAATTAATGAGCCCAAGTATAAACATCTCTGAGATTATTATAAAATAATTGCAAATAGTCCTAAATAATATCGTGAAGATGTTACATTCCGAGTAATGAAACCTGATAAAATGCCAAAGATTGATGACTTTTCTCCTGAGAGAGGAACAGTAGCTGTATTCAAAGATATATGTACCAAACCTAAAAAAATCCAAAAAAAAATTGCGTGTTATTTTGCTAAAGAGAAGTATCATAATATTTCTAGCATATACATAATACAATCTTTCTTTGACTATCCCAAATTAATAAGAAACAATCTTGATTATATAATCCTCTTTAATGGTAGTGGTACATATGATAAGCTGGTTAACATTACCTGATGATATACAAAAAAATGGCATGATATTGTCAATATACTTGATAAAAATTTGCAAGATAGAGATTTTATTATTATCAATTTAACTAGAGCAAAAGAAGACCCTTTATATCTTCGCAAAGAATAAGACCAATCTCTTGATCTTTCTAATGAGTAGCGTAATTTACGGTAATGAGATAATAATTATTTTTTTCATTATTTATTAATATAGCAATATAAATACATCTCACCCACCGCTTTTTGATAAGATGATCATAGCTAGTTGATTTGGAATCAGGATAGATGTTTTCAGTATCTTATTTGCTACTATTTTTAAATGAAATAGCTATCAGTATCCAGCCTGATTGAAGTTGGAGTAGATATTGAAAAAATAAATAAATTTTATAGACCCTCTGGGTCATAATTCGAAGAATTACCTAATAATCTGCTCTGCAATAGTTTATTTGTATCAAGGAGGATTTTTGTGTCAGGTAAAATGACTGTATATAAAAATCAAAGTAAAAAAGTATTACCAGCCCTCTGGGATAATGAAACAAATTCTAAAGTACTAGCCCTCAGGAATACTTTAGGTGGCTTATTTTAAATAGATATATATGAATAAGTTATATTCTGGCAAAGTCTTGACAGTCATTATTAAGATATTGATCAGAATTCTTCACCTATCATAACATCACATACCAAGATCTACCACCAATTAATCTGTATCCATTCTGTTATAATAAATTTACTATATAGTTATATATTCTATAAGTTAAAAGACTTTTCTTGAATTCTGCCCACAATTTAGGACTTTTAAAATACCAACATAATCATTTTTCATTATAGTCAATGTAACCATAACCATCAGAATGATTTACTTTTTGAGGAGTTATACCTAAAAACTTCTTATCATTGGGATAATTATCTATCTTTAGAGAATTTCAAGCTTGGGTTGCTAATGATTCAGGCCTCTGTTTATAGTTTTTCTAAGCTTTTTATATAATTCTTGCTTTTCTGAAATTAGTCTTTGATTTATTACATTCATGATTTCAATATTCCTGCATCAGGTCTTTAGATTCGAGACAATCAACATATCTCTGTCTAGTAAAATAGAATAATTTTTTAGGATTTACATCATCGATTTTTATGAGTTTCCAGTAATCGAAGCAAATCACTATATAACTTTTGTGGATTCTTGGTCTATAATAATTGAAATTGACAAATTTACCTTTATCAAATGACATAAATAAATAATATTGATGATATATACTAAATTTTCCAGCAGTTAATAAATCTTGTAATGGAATTCTTACTCATATTACCTATTAAACTGGTATTTCATTCTGTTTTATGATAGATAAAGTGTCAAATAATCTCTCATTATCAAAAATTTGATTGAGTTTATTAGCATAAGTTCTACCATAATGTGATATATATGATATAATATACTTTATATCAAAACCAGAATGATTGATATATGGTTTAGAAAGTGTTTTATCTTTTTTATCAATAATAGTAGTAATATCAAAACCAGACATATTTATTTATCGATTAGAATATTTGCTAAAAGCAGTCACTTCATGGCTAGACCTACCTATTTGATTTAGTCTTGCTAGTTTCACTAATAACTATATACTCTAGAATATATGATTCAATTTTAGTCCAAATACTCGAAGAGCATCTCATTCTCAAACTATTTATTCAAGTGTATTTCTGATATATATTAACGCATCTGATCATATCACAAAGTGAAACAAATTATAACACGTTATAATGAGTCTCAGAAGAGCGATGTCATGTACAGATTGATATATGGATTTATGTAATATGTTTTCAAGTTTGTAATATATAATATATACTGTATATGCCTAAATATTTTGGTTCTGATTCTGTGGTTACCTATTTTTGATTATAGTTATGATTGTTAGAATAAAATCAAAGATCTAATAGCAAATTATTCGAATAAAAAGTATATTATTACGCAGTTGTTTTGTTGAGATTGTGAAAATATTATTCACTTCACTTTCCTTCTAGTAGATTCTAGTCATTTTCATATTTACGATCACAAGTAGCTACGCATTCACAGACGGAGTATAAAAACCCTTATATTTTCTCTATCTCTTAAAAATTACAACTCAAAAATCAATAATATCCATGGAAATAGAAAGATCCAACCCTATCACTTTACAAATATAGTATGTACTAATTACTCTTGAAGAAAAAATATTTGAATTTCAATATACAGACACGCTTAATTCACCAGATGATAGTAATACCACCAAAGTCACTGAATCGACAATCTCACAAACATCTCCTGAAACATGCTCTTTATGCAATAATTCTGTTTTATTATACAAACCCAATGGAGCCAACTTGGAACTGATTGCGAAATTAACCTGTGTTCATACCTTTCATCTTAAATGCATTGTCAACTCCCTAAAGGAAAACCCAGATTGTCCTCACTGTCATTGATCTATCTATTCTGATAATGATAATGATGACATCTTACACCCACAAGAAAAAAACTTTAAAGTGGAAAAGTTTCTCAAAGAATTATCTCTTTGGCCAATAGTATTTACTCAATTACCTGATCCAGAAAATGAGAAGATAGAGAATTTCTCAACTTCACAAATGGATTTCCCTAAAATATATGACAAAATTCTTAAAGGTGAAAAGAATCTCAAAAAACAAATACGTGAGATAACCTATACAAAATATGAAATTCTTGACTCATATTACCTTCTTGGAAAAGTATTGGAGGATAAGTCAGCAGAGTTAAAGTCTAAAAATCCACTCTGTTCTGTCCAGATTATGCTTAATAAAAAAATTAGATGTTAGTTTCCATCTGATACTACTCGCAATATCTTTAATAAGAAAAAACGCTCAGCTTTAAATATTTATAGGATTTTTAGTAGTGAAGATATAGGCAGAGATAAGATATAATGAATTAGATCCTTTATCCTCTTATCCATTAGAAAATTTACTGATAATGAAATTAAAATTATTAAAGAAAGGAGTAAAAAGATTCCCATATTGCATAGTAAAAAACAGACAAATAAGGATGAGGAATTAGAATATAATACAGATATGGAGATTGATTAATTATTTTTATTTTTTACATACACACATGGGATGTGAATTAGAGAATGTATATATATTCATTTAGAAGTCTGATAAATAACCAATAAATATTTGTATAAGGTTTTTTCTAACCAATATAGTAATATATGTAATGTTGAGCTCTGAGGGATCAATCTCAGGTGATCGCTTTTACATATAGACAGGCTTGAAAAATCAATTGTATAATACAGATATTCGATCAGGTACATAAGTACTATTACTTCGTAATACATTTATCACAGAATAAATTAGATCATGAAAATTCTGCATGCATGATGTAAGAGTGCACCTCTGATTGTTACTATGACCAAATTTCTGAATAAAATCACATGGCTGAAAAATTGATTGCATAATACAGATGTTCGATCAGCATATACTATAAAATAAAATCGAAGATTATGAAACTTTTTATGCATGATGTAATTGTGTGATCTGCTAATTATTCTAATCTGATTAATTAACTTGTGGTATATATAATTTCTTTGTGAAAAGTTTTTTTGTTATGCATATTTATATAGTAAATACCCATGGGCTTACATCACTCCAGTTTCACATTCTCTGAATCTACCATTCCTATACCTAAATGAGACCAGAAATGAGTGGAGAGAGTATTTTAAAAGGGCAGTATATTTGCATTATGGTTATTCATTTGTTTTTTTACTTGCAATATAACAAAGCTTTTATTACTTTGAACTCGACTAATCAATATATCTGCTAATTTACAAACCAAAATTCATAATTTTTTGATCAATGCCAAAGAGTACCATATAAATGTCACGTCCATTGTTCACCAAGATTTAGAAGAAAATCCCTGGATTCCACAAAATAAGTTGAGAATGATTGTAGACTGAGTTATTGGTTATCTTAGTAATTTGTGTCTGGATAGGTTTTTGCATCAATGAAAGCTTTTTAGAATTCATTCACAGGTTAGCTATTGATTTTTTTTTTACAAAATCATTTTATTATATGATGATATTATGTGGTCAGCTATTAGATTCATATATCAAAAAGTAGCTCAATTATCCTATTAACCCACTCCTGATAAACACTTGCTTAACAATGGAGGGATATCTAAGCTATAGATTGTTATGTAGTAATATAGTTTATCCTACTAACTTATTAATGAGAAAAATTTATCACCTATATGGAGGATAATGGGGTTATATTGTTATGTAGAAAATTAGTACCACATAGGATTTCATTGACATGACGGCTGTACAAAAATGATAACTTTACATATATACTGATAATATATATATTTTTTTAATGATGAGTTTTTTATTACTGAAAACTAATGTATATTTATTTTTTAGTTTGAAGATGCTTTTGAGGAGATCTCCACATTATACGATCTTGGAGTTGTTAAAACAAATAAAGAAAAATCTCTTAGCTTGGACCAAATTGGAAACAATATGATTGAGCTTCAAAGAAAACTCAAAAGAGATATAATCCCCCTATATCAACATTTATATTTTGGTGTAAGAGTAATATCTATTGAGACATTATTTTGGAAAGATCCTACGGCCAGTCAAGTCATCAGTGATAAATCGAAGCTCATAAATGACTTATCAGAAAATTTAAGAAAAGGATTTACGGTAAAGAATTATATGTATATTTGATCATGTTACCTTTATTAACACTATTAATAACATTTATTATTTACATTAGAAACTTATTCATAAAATGATACCCACACCTATACCAATGATTCAAGAAATATGTAAAAAATTTGTACTAAATTTTAAGAGGTGTGAAATCGAAATGAAATCAACCAAATTAATACATGATGGGGCTTGAAAAGAATTAAAAAAAGATATCAAATGCGTGGTCAAAGAAATTCTTAATATTTTGAAAGATATTTGGAATAACTTAGCATTTGATCCTGAATTCGTAAAGATATTAAATGAGGGGATATACTAATCAACTGTCATTATATCTATTATTCGAGCTTCATTGAAAAATCTCCCTATTGGAGATGCTTTTTTTATTAGCATGTCAGAAAAGCAAAGTATTACAAGTGCTAATAGAAAGGGAGAAGGTTATATGAGAAAACATCTAGATATTATGCTTGTAGTGAAATACTTGGAGATGGTTTTTGAACTCATGTACGTAGAATATTCTCATTTAATTTCTAGTTCACAAAAAAAGACTGATGATAAGATTAAGTTATGGCAAGAAACTAATAACGGACTATATTGGATATGCCAAAGTCTTAAACTGGATAAGGATCAGTTTGGTATTGTAAGTATACAAGTAGCAGGTAATGTATTACATTTGAATCTTCTAGTATGAGATATGGTTAATGTTCACTGATATTACCATTTATAATCTGCTAAGATTCCTGTATAATTTTCAGATGAAGCCGTTATAATTAAATTTATAGAAACTTTATTACTTTTACATAATATAATAATTACTAATTTATTTTTACTATATCACGTACCTACTGCCATATCGCAAAGGTAAATGGAAGATAATACTACAATTTCTACTCCATGAGATGATAACTAGATTTTATTATATGTATTTTTTATATCTTATATTTATCCTAATAAAGATGATTCTGGTGGCTGGATTATTATATACTTTGTGTGATATATGTAATTAGGCATCTGGTTAAATTTTTCAAATAATCATTACACATTATTTATTGGGCACATGATTAAGTGTCAAGTCTATCATATATTGGAAAATTAAATCATATACTTGTAATATATCCCAAAATAGATTTAACACCTGAAATAGATTATATAATGATCCCAAATATAGAATAATACATTATCAGTTGTTTCATCTTGATTGGTTGATAAATTTCTAACCATTAACGGTTTTTAATTATTCTGATTGGATGGATTACTACTCTCAAGAATAGGCCCTATTACGAAGCTTATTTTTACAATGTTTTCAGATAAAAGAAATAATCTTTTTCTTTTTAACATGAACATGATTCTTTTAGGGATTTATCTAATCGAGATCATATTAGTCTGAATCTGTGGATTCTGAATCAGAGCTGAATGATTTAGAAGGATCTGTCTCAGATTTTATCTATAGTAGCTTTACTTTATTTATATAACTTAGTTCATATTCAATAATACGAAGTTTTTCAAAAACTCTATACTCTATATCATTTTCTATAGAATGAACTGACTTCCAAATATTATTAAGATGTGTTTTTATTGAAAGCTTTCCACCCTCATCACTTAAATCTATTTTAGGATATTTCTTAATCTTACCAGCTCCACTATTTTTGGAAACATCATCATTTAATCTTCTGGATATTAGAGGTGCAGGAGATATATTGTGAAATATTCTGCGATGGCTCTTTTGGTATTTAATATCTTGAGCATCTGAGAGAATTTTGTTAATTATATTTATAACCTCCTCTTGAGCTAGACCAGGTTTAGATTCTGTTAATTTAGGGATAAAGTTCCATTACTTTGCAATAGATAAGTTATTTTTAGTGAAGCTGACTTTATGGCTTGAAGAATTACCTGTAGATCTGCTATCTTCTTCGATTAATGGGATATTCATACCATTTATCTCAATTTTAGCATAGTGCTTACAATTTTCCAGAGAAAATCCAAAGCTAATTTTTGCTTCATGCATCCATAACCAATCCTATCCTAGCATCAAATCAAATGATAGATTTTTGCAAATTTAAAAATCTATTACTTTGGTACTATCTAAGCTTCGTCACTTTCCTTTATACTGAAATTGCAAATTTAAATATTTTATTTCTTTGCCTATCAAATCATCACTGGATATATCTTCTAACCCATAATTTTCTTCAAGCTTATTATACAAGCGCTTGCTAATAGTATTGGATTTAGATGTTGTATCAATTAATGCTTTTATTGGGATTTTTCTCTCTATGATTATTTTTATGAAAACTATGTCAAATATTATTTAATGATATATATTATAACTGAAAAAATAACTTGATAAATAATTACCCATTCTCTGCTACTACATAAAATTATTTGTAAATCATGAATGATTAAGATTAATCCTGCTAATCTCTCTGATACAATTACTGAATGTGAAAATGAAATTTATTTCATCTAATAATGTATTGGTAAACATTGAAATAGGTAGAGGTAGATCAGAATCAGACTATTTTCTATCTGAATAATTAGAGTATTCGATTTTAATTTTAGAATTAAGTTTTTTCATCACTTTTTCACTAACCTCTTTATATCCCTTCAAACTAAGATATTTCAAATTAGTACAATTGCGGGCTATTTCCTCGATAACTTTATTATTAATCAAGTAATTATCAAGCTCAAGATGTCTAAGTTTTTGGCATGAGCGAGTAATTTCAGTGATACATCGATTAGTGAGATATATACATAAATTAAGACTTAAGTGTATTAATTTTGGACAAAATTTTGCAATTTCTATAATTGATATATTAGTAAAACCATAACTTCGATTAAGAATAAGAAAGCATATATCTGGATATGAATGCAGAATTACACTGATCAAAATATCCGAGATTTTTAAACCTTCCAAACTAAGATATAATATCTTTAAATAATAGAGTGGCTTTATCTTTTCACATATAACTCTTTTAAACTTTAATAATTGCTAATAAAGATCTCTAGATGAATTATTATTATATATATTTCCTTAACAATCTATGAAAAAATCAATATCTTGCCATAAAATAGGAGTACCATAGTGGTACCAAAGGTGGTTGACGAATAAAGCAGGATAGAGGGATTGATCAATTTTTAAAAAATATAAGATCTGTTCTAGCAATTCTGGTAAATCAAATATATTCAGTTGCACCATTTTCAAGTAATCTATTATTATATATCTTTAATAGAAAAAACCAATGCTTGGATAATTAATTTAGGTGCATATATCATTTATTTTTCTGATATTCTCAACCACGCTTAACTTTGCAACCAGCTCATCTAATGACAAGTCCATTCCATATCTTCTGACTTCTAACTGATTATTACAAGATAATTCACAGAGAAAGTGTTCCTTAAGGTAAATTTTGTTATTATTTACTCTTAATACTATTATGTAATATTTCACTATCTTATAATATTCTTTTACTGGTAGGGATATTTGTTTTGGTGGTGAGAACTCTCGTGGAATATCCAATAATACATCAGTTCTATTAAGCAATGTGAGAGTATGATTGGGAAAATTCATTTCAGCTATATTTGCCTGAATCCATGGTGAACCTAATAACAGGATATGTATAAATTCAGGTTTATTAGAAACTAAAATATCATTAACTTCTATCTGTTTCCAGTTATTATCTTTAGACCAAAAAGAGGGATTTATTTTATGAACTATTTCCAATATTGGTATGCTATCTTCTATAGTCTCACAACGTGAGGATAATATTGCATCTAAATTATTTGGCAATTTTTCAGATGAAAAAGAGATTAATAGTTTTGCTTCTTCTTTATGGGAAGTATCAATTTCTAAGTCTAATACATCTACTAAATCTTTGCCTATAAGATTACAATTGTTGGTGGTATCTAGTATAGTTTTAATTGGTACTTTGTTAATTTTGCAAGATAAAATTCTCATCATGATGTTTTATTATAATAATATATTTAATTCTGCATTTTTAAATTCATATTAATAAATAATAATTTCGTATTTATAATAACTGAAGCTAATAGCAATATTGGACTGGCTCATCAGAATTTACAAGAGAATGATAATGAAATCACATCGCTAATAGAATCAGTAAAAAAATTATCAATATTAATTAATGATAAGAATACAGAAGTAGTTTGTGATTTGGATTTAGAATATCTAATTATCACTTATAAGATTGCAAAAAAATTGGATTTTGAAAAAGATAAAAGTTTACCCAATAGTGAAGCTAGTGCCAAGGTATATATTACTGATAAAGCGATATCTGGTATTATTAAACAAATATCACATAGAAGAATTTCAATTTTTCTTCACCAATTAATAGAAATAGTGAAATCTGAGATTGGGCTAGAGATTATTGACTTAATAGCAAATTCAGATATTTCTCGAAAAAATCATACACTATCTAAGACTAAAAGAAAAAAGAGATTTTTAAATGATACAGCATCTTTGTCCTCATTCTTGCCTTCATCTGGGTCTGATTCTGAATCTTCTTATGATAATAAAGATTTTATTGTAGATATGGTAAAAGTAAAGAAGCGCAATTAATCTTGATCATAAATATAAAATCATCTTGCTTGCTCATAAGGAACTCCTCTTTTTCTATAATTAACTATAATATAATTTTGCACAGGAGAAATATAGTTATCAGATGAATGACGTAGATATTCTCTAGCAATTGTATAAGCATAAGCCATATTCTTAGTCTCATGTACTATCACACCATAAATAACATCTATTTTTTGTAAGTATTTGGAAATTAAATCATAATCTTTTAAGAATTTATTGAACTATTTAACTCCTGGCTTACCTGGATCACCCATTCATCCAGATGATATAGCACGCTGAATCTAAGTAAGTAGTTCTTTAGCTCGTTCTTAATTCTTTTCCATAGATCTAAATTTTCTAGGAATATCTGATTGACCATGATTTTTTGCATATCCTGTCACTCCAGCATCTGTAATGCATAAAGTTTTAAGTTTAGCAAGTCAAATACAAAGCATTATCATAATATCTGCGAGGGCTTGTAAATTAGATGGAGTTTTTAAATTATACGTATCTAATCTTTCTTTGACCAATTCTAATGTAAATTCATCTGGATAATTAATATGTTTAGTTTCAGCCTTTTTCAGATTGACACTCTGAATTTTGTTGGCATCTTCTGTAATATCTGGAAATTTTGTAGTCTCAATTATCTCAAGTGATGCATTAAGGTTTCTTAATTCTTTACAAAGATGAGAGAGACGTGATGAGCTAGCATTAGCATTTTTTGCTGATAGAGCTAAGGTATAAGCTTCAGCTCTTACATCTCTAATGCTAAGTTTATCCCATAAAATCTGTTACGTCATATCTCCAATTATTTCTTCCTCCATCCCTTTAAAGAGTTTATTAGCGATCACAATATTTAAGGTTTGGTCAGAAGTATTTCATATTATTTATTTTCCTGGGTAGAGAATAAGATATTTACTTGATCCTCACTAAATTCATATCTATTCTGTAAGATTCATTTTGCTTTCTCTCTGACAATCTCTTCTTCTAGATTTTTTGAAGGTGATGCTAGAACTATTCTATAATTACCTTTGACAATATTTATAATTTTATTTTTCCTATTTCTTTGATTAGGTATCAATACACCTACCTGTTCACTGCTAAATTTAAAACTATCCTGAAAACGTTTGCATGTCTAATTCCACTTTCTATCATCGGTAAGATTCTCAAGAAATTCTGAGGTATATTTGCTGAGATCGGACATATTTATCTTGAGACTGAGATTGTATTTTTCAATGATTTTAGTTGCGATAGCTGACATGATTAAATATTATAGTAGGTCAAGTAGTTTATGAACAATTCTTTAGGTTATATATACTATAAAAAATATTTTTTCAAATCAAAATTAATTATCCGTGGATTAGTATTGCTATATCAAAAATTAAATGGATCATGGTTATTATAATTCTATCAGAAAATGGATGCAAACAAGATATGAGTTTGATC